TTATTAAGCCTTCAATTTTGAAATAATTATAGATAGAAGAAGTTCCAAAGATAGAACAGAGAGGTCTGCCGTGCCCTCCACCCTCTTTCCGCTCCGTGGTTCCTCCTTACGTAATTATACTACCATATCAAAACCAGGAACCTGGCATCCCTACGGCGTGTGCGTGGTTCCACATTCATCTTGTCACATATAAAACCACCACCGCCACCAACATACGGGATCGCTTGTGTGGCCTCCTACACACTGCTCCCTTCACCCCTGGCAACCAGCAATCAGCTCTTCACCTCTAATTTTGTCATCTACAAGAAGTTACCATGTGTGATCCCCTGAGGCTGGCTTTTTTCACTCAGCATCATGACTTTCAGAATCCTCCAAACTGCTTTTCTGGCAAGTATCAATACTTCCTTCTTTTTAATCAACCTCATTTCTACAAGTTCCACGTCCACAGATTCAACCAACCACGGATCAAAAATATTCAAAAATGAAATTGCGTCTGTACCAAAAATGTAGAATTTTTTCCTTGTCATTGATTCCCTAAGCAGTGCAGTGTTAACAACTATTTACTAGCATTTATATTTTATTTTATTTATTTTTTGGTACTGGGGATTGAACTTGGATCCTTGTCCTTGCAAAGCAGGCGCTGGAACCACTGAGCTAAATCCCGGGCGCCACCATTTATTTAGATGACTACCAATAGTCTTAGCACCTTTGACAAACATCAGCTAGCACGTAGTTAGTTATGGACGTTTAATTTTGTTCATTGATCTATGTGTCAGTTTTGATGCCAATACCATTTGTTTTTATGTAAAATGTTCTACATCACTAACTTCGGTTATTTTATCTGTGTAGTATATTTTGAAGCCAGGAAATGTGATACCTCCAGCTTTATTGTTTCTTCCTTTCTAGAGTAAATACTTAGCACTTAAATTTCCCTCTTGTGCTTAATTTGTGTACTCCCAAAAATAATATGTTGTATTTTCATTTTCTTTCAGTTCAAAATATTTTTTTATTTCCCTTGAGATGTCTCCTCTGGTCCATGGATTACTTGAAGTAAATTGTTTAGTTTCCAAGTGTTTGAAGGTTTTCCTGTTATTTCTGTATTATTGATATCCAATTCTATTCCATCTCGGTTAGAGAACATACCCTGTATGCTTTAAAGTATTTCACATTTCTGAGGTTTGTTTTATTGTCCTATATATGATTCACCTTGTTATATACTCCACATTCTTTTTGTTTGTTTGTTTGTTCATTTGTTTTTTGAGACAGGGTCTCACTATGTAGTTGACACTGACGTAGAACTCAATCTGTAGCCCAGGCTGGTCTTGAACTCACAGCGATCCTCCTGCCTCAGCCTTCTGAGTGCTGCGATTATAGGTGTGTGCCACCATGTCCAGAAATACTCCATATTCTTGAAAAGAATATGTATTATACTGTTGTTGAGTGGATGGTTCTATGTATTTTCATTAAATTTGTTGGTTGATGGCATTGTTGAACTTACATAGACCCCTGCTGATATTCCACCTCGTTATTCTACCATTTATTGAGAAAGAGGTGTTAAAGTCTGTGATTATAATTGTGAATTTGTTATCTTTTCATTACTATTAATTTTTGCTTCACACATTTTTATAGTTCTGCTGTTTGATGCATACATATTTAGGCTTATTATGACTTTTTTGGTGGATTAACCTTTTCCATATTTTATAATGTCCTTCTCTGGCCTTGATAAGTTTTTTTTTTACTCTAAAGTCTGCTTTTTATATTTTTAATATAGCCACTTCAACTTTTCTTTGCTTGCATTATATATATGTTTATATATATATTATATATATTTGTGTGTGTGTGTGTGTTACCAGAGATTGAACTCAGGATCTTGCACTTGCAAGGCAGGCACAGTGCCACTGAGCCAAATCCCCAGCCCTGCATGGTATATCATGTTAATTATTTTACTTTGAAGTTATTTTCTTATTGACAGAATAGAGTTGAGTCATGTTGCTTATGTATTCTGTCAATCTATGTCCTTTAAACTTTGTATCTAAATCTAGACCATTTGTATTTAACATGATTACTTATATACTAAGGATTAACTATCTGCCATCTTTTTTTTCTTTGTTCTTTCTACTCTTAATTTTACTGTTTTCTGTTTCCTACTTTCTTGTGGATTCCTTGAACGGTATTTTAGAATCACACTTTTATTTATCTGTAGTTTTCAAGTGTATCACTTTATATAACATTTTTTTTACTGGTTGTTCTAGGTATTATATTACACATAACTTCTCAAAGTCTATTGGTATCAACATTTTACAAGTTCCAATGAAGTGTAATAGTTACAAATGCCTTCAAGGCCATATTCAATTTTTTAGTCTATGTTCTCTGTTCAGAGCAGCTAATTTCTGTGGTTCTATATTCTATTTCACTGTTTTTTTCCTTCTACATCATTTTACGGATGAGCACAACTATTAACATTTTTATTTCAATTTTTGTGTCTTCAATTCTAAAATTTCCATGCAATTCTGTGTATTTTCTATTTCTCTGCTGAAATTTCTATTTTTTTCACTTGTTTTAAGCATGTCTGCTGTTTTGTTTTGTTTGGCCTTGAACTCACCCCGTAGCCCAGGTTGTCCTCAATCTCATGGAGATCCTTCTGCCTCAGCCTCCTGAGTGCTGGGATTATAGGTATGTGTGAAGGGGCCTGGACCAGATACAATACCCAAGGGCGCCCTCCATGTTTTACTAATGATCTGGGCAGCTCCCAAGCCCATCAAGTTGATAATTAACCTTAACTGTCACAAATAGAGCCCTGACATTTTCACTATCATGGGTCTAGATCTCATCTGAACCTTATACCTCAGCAGGCATCCTCCCCACTGCACGATGAGATAAGGACACTGTCTCATTTCCTCCACAGGGGGTTGTATCCCGCTTCTCCACTCAGGCACCCTTGACACCTGGGCTGGAAGGGCTCCTCATTATTGCTGGGCCACTGACACCACCCTGTCTGGGGGGAGGGTGCTTCTTCACTGCTTCCCTCGAGGGTCCAGCGATCCTTGGGGAGGGGTCTTGTTACCACTAAGTGGCGAGGAAAGTCCTGACTCTACCAGGCCTCCTCTGACAACCCCCTCCCCAGTGAGGAGCAGGAGGACGAGGAGGATGAGGAGGAGGAGGAGGAGGACGAGGACCTCATTAGCACATGTGGTTCACACCGATACTGAGGGGAGGGTGATCAGAATGGGTGAAGGTCCCAGCTCCACACTCGGCCTTCTCAGGCTCCAACTGGCACAAGGTTCGTTGTCGTAGCTTGGTGAAGTGAACGTCTAGGTACCCACTTAGCCTTTGCCAACGCGTATGGGGGTGAGGCTCTGCTGCCCCTTGTCCCCATGGTTGGTGGCTAGAGTAGAGCACTTAGTAAGGGAAACAGTTCTATCTCTTTAAGATGCCTTCCTCTTTATTCTTTGGCTTTAGAAAAAAAGCACAGTTTTGGTGGCACACTTCTTGTCCAGTTGTCAACTTCCCCAGTGTCTAGTCTGGGCACATGACACAGAAAGAAGAACTAGGAATTCGCCACTTGGGTTCCAAGGTTCCCAGCCAGTTTGCCTTCTCTCCACCTCTCGGAGCTTTTTTTTTTTTTCCCTTCTTTTTCAGTACCAAGGATCGAATCCGGCACCTTTGCACTGAGCTACATCCCTAGCTCTTTTTTCATTTTTTAAAGCTTGAGACAGGGTTTCACTAAATTGCTGAAGCTGGGCTTGAACTTGCAATCTCCCTGCCTCAGCCTCCCACAGTGCTGGGATTACAGATGTGCTGTACCACATGCAACTATTTTTATAATTACCAGTAGTTTTTAATGGAATGTAGTTGTATTTAGGAAAAACAGCTATCTAGTCCTGTGTATTTGTGGGTTTGTTGTCCATGGATTCAACAAACCACAGATGGTTGGGTGTGGTGGGTTATAGTGTTATAATGATAGCACTCGGGGGGCTGAGGCAGGAGGATCACTGCAAGTTTGAGGCCAGTCTGGGCCACGTAGTGAGCTCAAGACCAGCCTAAACTATATATCAAGACAAAAAGAACGAAATACCAAAAAACAAACCACAGATCAAAAATGTAGTGAGGCCTATGATGATTGCATCTGTACTGGAAAGCGGACGGAGCTTTTTTCTTTGTTATTATGCCCTAAACAATACAGTGTAACAGTTATTTACATAGCATTTACTTTATGTTACTTTATCATAAGTGATCTACACTGAGGCTTTGAAGTGCGCAGGAGGCCACATCACTTATATGCAAAGACTACGTCATTTTATATAAGTGACGCGAGCAGCCTCAGATTTTGGTATCCACAGAGGGTCCGCTGATCCCCTTGGATGCTGAGGGACAACTGCGTATCTTCCCCGTCTTCCCAGAGCATTACCGCTTGGTGAAGAAGCTCTTTGCGTTCTCCCCATCCCCATTTGCGTGGCTTTGGCAGCTGCCTGGCTCTGCTCCTGAGACACTCAGTGACTAAACGCCCAATAAAATGGTAAGATTTCGTTCTCAGGACTTTCCCACTCGCAGACACTGCACACACGACACCTTCTCCTTTCCTTCTCTCTCCAACCTCTCCCTCAATGCTCAGTGCCTGTGGTCAGAGGCCCCACTGTTCCCTCCTAGGGTGGACACTTTTGTGCCGACCTGCTTCTTTCTCAGGGGCTGGCTGTTCTAACGCTCGGCTCGAGCCCTTAGCATTTCCCGAGAGCTGGGTATGGAGGCGCTGTGGAAAAGCCAGCTTGAAAGCTGAGCTGATACTAAAAATCCGTATGCTGAGACTAAGACTGAACTACAGACACCCGAGTGCTCCTTCCGGTCTGATGCCAAGCTCACATCCCCTTCGTGGCCTCTCTCCCTTGCTGGCCAGGTCACGACGCCTGTGGTCGCCCTCAGAGCCACAGAGTGGCAGGAGGTGTGGCCAAGAAGGGTGAAAATCACTCTCTGAGGCCTCACTGTAGTTCTCCTTTCACTCTTAGAGCCTGCCAGGGTCCCTGAAGAGGGAAGACACCAGGAAACAGGTAAAGGCTATTTTTTCTCTCTCTCTCTCTTTTTTTTTTTTTTTTTTTTC